CCCCAAAACCCCAAAACCCCAAAACCCCAAAACCCCTTTAGTTGAAATAATATTGAAAATAAGATGAAAGGCTTAAAGTCCAAGTCCGTAAATGAATGGGTCATCCATATGTCTCCCTGAAGCAACAAATTTTGTGCTGAATTTCTGACTCTTCACGGGTATTTCATAGTCTCTCCTTCCATCAACTGAATGGCTTTGCCTCTGAGCGTTAGTCACAAATTCGGAAGTTGATCCTATAAACTTGCTTGATGTGGGTACATCTGAAGCATAAGGGTTTGTGAATCTGGTATTTAAGGAGCTTAACTCACTAGCGCCATTAGTATATCCAAGGCTGTCATCGACCTTAAGTGATCTCTCGATATCATCTATCTTATCGAGCCTATCTTTCTGTAGTTGTTGAAGGGTGATAACCTGATCGACATCTGAAGTATTTAATAACTGTCTAGCATGCTTCTTGAAGTCATACCGGCTGAGCTTATTTTCTTTATTCTTGATGTACTCTTCTCCGTAATTCCTTTTAGGGAAATATGGATCATTATATCCAGCAGGGTCAACGATAGTCTTTACATCAAAGTTAAGCTTATGGGTTTTAGGAAGTTTAGAGGTATTCCCATTAGCAAGAGAGCCTAGCACGATGAGTTTATTTAAGCTCCTCCTTAGCATCTTCTTCCTTCTGCTTATTTCTTAATTTTTGTACTTCCTTTTCTAGACGTTTCTATGGGTTATCAAGTGAATGTACCTTTTCTTCCTTTTCTTTATCTGTGGCCTTATTTAAGAAGATCTATTTGCTTTTTCATCTGATCATTCGTAAGATCAAACTCTTGTTTGATCCTTTGCATGCTGATGGTGAACTCATTACGGAGGTCATTATGGGCATTCCGGACAAGCATTCCCTCAATCTGGTTATATTCATTGTCACCCAAGAAGTTGGCTTTGGAGGTAGTGTACTGGGGAGTCCTAAAATCAACCCTATTCTTGATCTTATCCTTTTTGGTCCTGATTATGGAGTCCTGGAAAATTTGTTCGTTTTGCTTTTTGGCTTCCTCAATTTTCCTCTGCTGAGCAAGCATCTCTGCATGCTCTCTGGCAGCTAGTTCTTCTCTTTCTCGCTGGAGTTTCATTTCTAGTTTGAGTTCTTCCTCTTCTTCTTTACGTTTTTGTTCTTGTTTTATGCGTTCTGAGCTATGAGGTTAGAAATGGTTACCTTTCTCTTGCATTTGAATTTGGAGGGCATTCCTCCATTCGCTATTTTTCCATATCTTTGCGCTGAACTTCTACTTCATTCTTATCTTGGAAATAATTGCTTGGCTTCCCACCCACTTTTCTGGAACTTGTAGTTGAGATTGCGTCAAAATTTTGATCTTCGAAGTGGACTGCATCAGGATCCCTTTCAAAAGTGGTATTTATTGATGCGTTATTCATGTTTACTTGAGATGCACTATCATCTTGGAAATTTATGTTTTGAGCAATATTTTGGCCCATTTGAGCAAAATTTCCACCGTTGTTCATTGCTGGAGGAGTTCCATACATGTTGTTAGCCATCATTTGCATCTGAGGAGGGTATTGGTTGAAGTAAGAGTTTTGTGGTGGCTGGGAAGGATACCCATATTGCATGTTCTGCATCCCTCCCATAGCTTGGTTGTATCCCATGATATTGGCACCTCCAATATTTGAAGGGGGACCGGCTGGAGCATTATTCATTTGAGGATGTTGAAAATTATTACTATCATTAGTTGCAATATCTAGTACATCATTGAATGCCACGTTTTTATTTTATAGGTCTTGCAGGACTTGAATTCTGGGACCGTCTCTTATGTACAAACTCTCTATTTCTTGAATCATCTAGGACACTAGCAAAGCCTTCCTCCTTTTCTCTATCAAGCTGTTTGAGTTTCTCTAGTTCTCCTTTACTAGGGCTGTTTTTGAGCTTCTCTCCAATCTGGTGCATATAGTCTTTGTATTCCTGCTGCTTTTGTGACATTTCTTGTACTATATTTCCAAAATAAAATTCAATTTTAGGGCAACATTAAGGGGTTTTGGGGTTTTGGGGTTTTGGGGTTTTGGGG